GTAGATGAAATGGAGTCCAGCCTTTGAGTCTAATTCTCCCGCCAACACTGAGGTAGCAGCAGGTTACAAAGACCTTGGAAGTCTGATTTAACTCCCTTCAGCCAGTGGTTGGGAAGAGAAAGGCCCAGGGGAGGTTCTCTTCTATCCATGAGGACGTGAAATTTCATTTGTGGCTGACAATGCTCTTAATCCTGCCTTTTTATTGATGAAGAATCTCTGGGTACCTCAACTGTTTCTCAGTTTCCCTAGACAGCAATTGACCTTGTTTCAGCTATGCATCAGAAGGCACTGGCAATCAAGGTGCTATTGATTTAAACCTAATGGCCAGCCACTCAGGAATTTCACCCGGAGAAGAAAAATCAATGCCACCTTATTATTATTATTTTTATTTTTTTTTTCTGTTAAGATATTATAATGGAAAGGCATAAGAGTCTCGCCAGCTCCTTACCATTAAGCAATATACTTGCAGGGCTGAGAACGCTGGGTCAGGCTCTGGTAAGGTAGCCAGCCAGCTACAGATTGAAATGACTCTAGGGTTAAACAGTTTTCCCTGATTGCGTGCTGCCATCCGCATCTCCCTGATGACCTTCCCCGAGGCATGCGAGCTGCACTGCTATGTGGGACTCTGGAGAGGATGTCTTGAGCAATGCGTTAGCCCTATTACTGGAGTTGCTCTGTGTGGGAAGGATGCTCCCTGTCTTGTCCTTGCCTCATTTTGGATGTTTTCGTCCCCCCCTCCCCCATCCCAAGGGGAAAGTGTCACTCAGAATCTGCAAGATTGGTTTACAAGGCTGGTTTAAATGCACGACAGGTAAGCACCAGCCAGATAGATGCTTAGATCCACGGTAGAACTGAGCAACACCACAGGCTCCCTCCTATCTAGTGAGGCATGCCAGGATGCATCCTGTCGCTCATAGGCTGAATGGTCCAACATCGACTGTGTCTGTGCTGCTAAACTCTCCTACCTGCCAAAACAAGGTAGTTTTTCCCCTTTGGGCTTCTCAGGAGCATGCACGACACTTATTTACTGCAGCGTAGGTATTGTCTGGGAGAGGACACAGGCTGAAGCCAGGCTATGAAGTGTGCTTACACTTTACTGGTGTGGGTGATTAGGGAGGATGCTTGAGCCTGTAACATAGTTGTTCTCAGTGCCTTGGGATGGTAGAGATATCAGCCACAGAGTACCAAAGCCATCGTGAGCAGTCCTGGTTTAGCACTCCAAATGCTTTGGAGCCAGATCACCTTTTGAAATGATGTTGAGTCTCGGGCCTCCTTTTAATCAGCCAAAGGGACTTGGCTGCTGCATCACATAAGCTGAGGAACATTGAGGAGCACGGGATGATGTGGGGCAGTCCTGACTCCTGACGACACTGACATCCCAGTGAGGTTCTGAAGTGCTCCTAGGTCCTGGTTACTTAGGCATACTAAAGCATTTTCCCCTGTGGCCTCTGCTTGTACTCCTCTTATTGCTGAGGAGTATGAGAAGAATTGAAGGATGGTTTTCATTTCCATTTGATTTTGGAGTGTCCCCGTGCAAGTCAACTTTAAAGAGATGGGAGTGACCCTTCCTCATAATCCATCCCTTTCAAGATGGCCACCTAAAACTGCATGAGGAACATGTACCGGTCTGCATACCAGCTACCTCTGGTGTCACTGTGCCTGCAAGAGCCTCATTTGCACCCATTCAGAGTGAGCATTTTCCATGAAGATGGTACAGCTGTCAGAGGAATGCCTGGAGTGAGACCTGCATTTCCAGACCTAAGCGTTATCTGGATGATAGGCGAGTGCAGAGACAACGTGAAGGGAATATGACAGTGCAGTTCGAAAGCGTGCAATAAAGCTGCCTTAAAATGGCTTTTTCCCTGGCTCAAGCCAGACAATAGCCATTTGTTCGAATGATGTGACTGCATGGAGGTGCGAGGCCTGACCCAAGCTTTGCTGCAGCCACTGACGCAGTGACCAGCTATTGACCTCTTCATCCATTTTTCTGGGGGGGAACCTGTTTGATTTGTGCATCTTTTTCCAATTTGTACTACATCTGTGGCATATTTCTGCTGACCATTTCAGTTTGCTTGAACAAACGGCAGGGCTAAGAATGTTTGTGAGATGGTTTACAGTTTTGGGTGAAATCTCTCTGGCTTCACATGTCAGGGAGCCTTGCACATTTTTCAAGCCAGCTCAGGGGGAACTGAGCAAAGTCTCCTGACAACTTACTCTTCAATTGCTGAGTTTTACTCAGCTTCTGCCTGTGGTGATGTACTTGCATTTTGTTTCTTTGGGAAGGGTGGGAGGAAGAAGGGGAAGGTTTGTGGGCAAGCTGTTGGGTGCACAGCAGAATGATCTCCTAAGCAAGTGGTCCCACACAACATGGGTAAAGCAGTGGGTGTTCCGCAACTGAGGTTTTGATTGGGTCCCACCCAGTGTCTGAAGCCCCCTGAACAGCAAAACTGGGACAGCTTAGCAGCCCATAGGAGGTCTTGCAGGTTGACAGCGCTCAGTGGGGAGCAACAGATGGAAGATTGTTCTGCAAGCACCAGTCCTAAGGCAAATGTCAATGCAATGACCTCCCTTCCCACTCTTGCCTGCTGA